TATTTCAGGACGAATGGATAAGGCTTGAGCCAAGAGCTTGTGTGAGCAAGTCCAAAATTTGGCAGCAAATGTCAGTTACGCGGTTTTGCAGAACGACGATACGCGATTTTGTACTTTAAACGACGAGAGGTATATATGTACATTCATCTGCTAGACGCTAGTTAATGAGCGAATATTTTTTTCGAAGCGAGAATAGTTTAGCAACAATTTATTAGGATATACGTCTAATTACTTTAATGTCATAAAAACTAATTGAAAACAATATTTTTCTCGTTAAAAGAATAAACTCTTAACTAAAAAAAAAAATATTATATCAGCACTCGAAACTGCCAACGATATTTTCGAATTCACTCGGATTCAGTGATGGCATTTTTTCGAATTCGTAGCAGGCATTCGAATTCGTAGATTTTTACAATGGATTCCGTAATACCCCTGAATATTTTTAAATGAAACAAATTTCAAACATAACCTAAGGAATATTCGAAATCGCGGTTTGAAAGCCCAAGGAATACATAAGAAATAAAAATAACAACGCACTAAATTTTTTGTATTGCTTTTCAAATTGATTTTTATTAAAACTCTCAATTCATTTGTTCATGTGTAACAAGTTCCTAGTGATATTTCAATGTTTATAATTTGCCATTATAACAGTTTTTAATTATGCGCATTTGTATACATTTCACGTATGTATTACTTTAGTTGGTTTTCGTGGGGTTATGTAAGCAATTGCGTTTTTATGTTTTATTGACGGGATTTTTTTTAATGTTGATTTTTTAACACAAAATTTTGCGATTACGAACACTAAATTAATATTTTCGTTCTGGATTTATACACACACACACATATGTACATTAGGGTGGTCCAAAAACGCGCGGGAAAAAGTAAAGTTGGAATTTTCATGCTCTCACCCCTTAGGATTGTTTTATTCCGAGAAAAAATATACCCCTATTTTTTTTTTTTTTTGAAATTAAAAAATATTTAGAGGAAAGCGCACAAAGTTGTAGAATTCTAAAAATCAACATTTTTCTATCGGAAAACTCTGTTTCTCTGCAGGAGATTCCCAGTAATAGTACCCAATTGTTTATTTACGCATTTTTTCATCGCAACTATAATTTATCGGTTCGTCCAAAACCCACAAAAACCGCGAAAAATGCAACGGGAGGACCAATAAGAAATTGTTAATATTAAAAAATAGTTAAACAATTGGGTATTATTATTGAAAGTCTCCTGAAGAGAACCAGAGCTTTCCGATCGTAAAATATGGACCACCCTAATGTACATATGTACATGTATGTACGTATGAGTAGTACACACGCTATACATTGTAAGCTAGTTTTTTCGCATATNGGACCACCCTAATGTACATATGTACATGTATGTACGTATGAGTAGTACACACGCTATACATTGTAAGCTACTTTTTTCGCATATGCACTTTTATATAATCTTTTATCTCATTTTAGATACAGCAAGCAAAGCTAATTTTAAGGAAAGTGAGAATTATTATGGCCCTATTGTGTATGGCGACTGATAGCCGATGGGCAACCATATACTAAAATTCGCATTACGTATGGCTACTGGCTACTGACTGTCGGCTACTGAGTCTAGAAGCGGAATTTTCTGTTTCCCGCTATTGACGATTTTGTTATTTATTCACATAAATTGCTCAACACATCGGAGCAAAGTAGCCAGTTACTTGGAAAAGTTGATGTCAAGAAAGTAAATTGGGATATGTTCTGCGCTTTTCTGTATACTGGGATTAATCGCTATACATAATACAAATTACGATACTTGTAGCCTTGGCTACTAGACCAGCAACTAGACCCCAGTGGCCATACATAATAGGGGTCTTTAAAAAGTATTCAAAACTGTCATTTAGGGCCTATTCTTCTGTGATAACAACGATGTATGTATGTGTGTGTACGTACTTACGTATATATTAAAAAATGATCTTCACTAAATTTATTTCTTATAAACATTTGCCCCTTTTATTCAAACAAATGAATTTGTTATAAAGAAAATAATTATGCTAATTTATAAATTGCAAATAAGAAAAAGATTTGATTATACATATATGTATGTTATGCAATTGAAAAATACATTCTTAATAACTAAATGATAAACAAAATTTTTGGTTAATGAACGCTATTACACATAAAGATAAGTAAACAAATCAAGTATCTAGATTATATAAAGATATGTTCAAGTAATTTCATAGGAGAAAAAATGGCATTCTTTAGTGGTTATTCAATTTGTATGCGCATATAATGCGACAAGACGAAAAAAATTTATCTAAAATAATACTTGTATTTAGATTTCAATTGAGGGAACGGCGCTGGTTATATAAAATTATTGCAATACTTAAAGCCGTAAAGGGATTTAAATTAGCGGTGTGATTAGATATTTGAAAAAGCACTTCTTGAAGTAAATTTAGTTTTATTTTTATATAAATGCATTAATAGTTATTACTAAAAAATTAAGTTTAACTGCAAATTGTGAACGTTTTATACAGCAGCACTATTTTGCTAAGGTAAGTTCAATTAATAATAACAAAATATTCGAAAAGGTTAAAACTTTAGAAGCTCGTATTTATCTGTGCATAAATATTTGTTCATTTGCAACCAATTCAGAACGTACCCAAAAGGGCGTAAATTATAATTTGAGACAAAATCTTATCATTTAAAATACGCAGAAATCATTTTCCCAACGAGCATTGAGCACATTTATAAGTGAACTTTAAGAGATTCCATGCGATTGATTATGCGGCGACGTAATTCAATATATCTAGAATTATTAACAGTTCAATATGATTAAAAGTTTAAAATTTTTACGTCATCTTACCTTTCTCTAACTTTAGCCACTTCGCGCTCCAACTCATCATCATATCGTTCTAAAATTGCACGGCATTCTGGCAGGGACAGGTTTATAAACTGAGCAACCTCATTACTGCCCAAAGTTTGTATTAAAATTCAGTTAATATATGTAAACATGTATAAAAATTAACGTCAGGCATACCTTATTTCGTCTGTCTTCTTTGCATCGACAAGAAACAAACGTGCCACATCCTCATGCGGCCCCATCATGACGCGCGTCACCAACGGATAATCAGTCTCTTTCAAGCGTTTTTGCTCGCCATTATCGCGTACAATGAATAGCGAAAAATTCTCCGGCGCACTATCAACTTTATATTTTTCGAGTAATAGGTTTATGACTTCAGTTGTGGTGACCAACGATGTGACCCACACAGACATTTGTGAGCCATAGGGCGGTGTGAAGAACGATGTTTCGCGATTGTAAAAGTGGCCATTAATAGAACAACGCCGCTTCAATTTGGTGCGCGATCTGCAATAAGTTGTAAGTATTTTTTTTATAAACGCTTTATATTAACTCTCATGAACTCACCTTCTGTTTCCACTACGCCGCTTTATGGCTGCAGCGCCCGTACGCGGTGGACGCCGCAAAACTACACCATCTTCCGTAACATGCAGCGGTGGTTCTGCATCATCGTCATCGACATTGTGTGCAACACCAAGACCTCTACCCTCGCTAGCAGTAACCATATCTTCAGTTTGCGTCAGTTCATCACCACCAGCAGTACCACTATTCGTCACTGTAATTGAAGGCGCTTCAGTGCGACTGGAATCAGCTTCACTCACGCTCTCCTTTTCATCATCTTTCGTTTTTCTCTCCTTGGGATAGCAATCCATTTCGATTTTCACATAACGTGAGGGCACATCACTGCGGCGTATTGTTGCCGATTGTTGTGGCTTTAATGTGGAATCATCATCACTATCGGAGTAATCAAAGCACGATGGTCCCGATTTGGAACGGTTGATGCCTTTGTCGAAGTTTTGATATCGTTGATAGTATGGCGATAGATTTTGATGATTTCCGCCAGTGGCTGTGGAGGCTGAGCCACTTTTCTGCAAGGCATACATTCGCTGAATCGAATGTGGACTGGCAGTGCCGCTCTTCAAATGAAGAGTATCGTTAATTAAATTAGCATCGATTGAGCGTAATGCATGTTCACAGTTGAAACTTTTGCTCATTGCACTTTCGCCATATAGCTTGAGGGAATCGTGTATCCTTGACGGATCGATTGGTTGGTTGCGTTTTAGCGAGTCCTCTTTGGGATCACGAAATGAGTTGGCTCCATTCACATAATCAAGATGAACACTACGCTTAAATTCCTCATAATCCATTGGCTTAAGAGTAGCATCATCAGAGGACTCAAAATTATCCACCGTTGTTGTTGTAGTTGTGCTGGTAGTGCCCGAAATAGATGAGTTTATTGTCGCCGAGGTGGCAGTAACAAAATTGTCTGAAGATGTGCTACTGCCCTCGCTGTTGCTATTGCTGTTATTGTTGGTTGTAGAAGCAGACGTGGGAGTTGATGGGGATGGCACTTCACTGGTGGTATTGGTGCTTTCGGTGAGATTATGAGCTGAAATAGTTTTTGATGGCGAGCTTTCACTGGAAGACGTTTGCGACGATGGCAATTTGACGGGCATCGTTTCGTAAATTTTATCCTTTTCGCTAATGCGGCGTTCAACCTTAAAAATATGTACAAATTTTGATTATAGTAATTGTATGTATAGTTTAAAAAGTTCCGTTGCATTAGTACTAAGCGGTTCGAAGAGAATAAACCTATCTGCTTACAGCTACATTCGGACTATTGTAAAGTACTTTTCTGGGCGGAAATGTGTACAAGACTGAATTCCCTACCTGCAGCAGATCATCTATTTCATCCCATTCTAATTTGTCCAAATTATCCAATTTTGAAGGCAAAGTTGTAGAAACACAGCTTGTGGATGCAGTTGTAATGGTCGTATCGGTGCCGCACAGGGTACTTGTCGACTCCGATTTTTCATCATTGGCACTTCCATTGGTGCTATTTATCAAAGGAACCGCTGCCCCATCCGTTGTGCCGGTTGTGTTTGCGGAAGCTTCCTCTGGTGTTGTGGGTAGGTCCGTCAACGGATACTCATTTAAACTGCAGGAATCAAAAGTCATGCTCTCTGACAATGAAATATCTGTTGAGAGGTTCTCTACCTCACTTGTGGTAGTGGGCGCTCCCAATGATTCACTAACATCGTTTTCCTTATCCGATGGACTATCCTAAAGTTGAAAATGGAAAATCAATTCCAATACATATTTATATCCACAACTTACTTCAGCTGCCTTAGATATGCGCTTGGAATTTCGTTTGCGTACAACAATCATACGCTGATCATCATCTTCTTTAAGATGTATCACGCCGTGTACGCCCCAGGAAACACGCAGTGCGCCTTCAAGAATTAATCGGTTATTCACTTCTCGACTCCGTATTTCCATGCTTTTATTGTCATAGAATTGGTTGTAGACCTAAACGGAATTAGAGATGCATAAGTGTAAAAAAAATCGTTTATTGCAGTTTTATTTTTATGGCTGAGTACCTTTAACTTGCTTTCTAAATGATCTCTGGGTAAAACTGGCCCTCCAATACCAATACCGGATCGCTGTGTTCCCTTTACGCCATAGCTCTTATGTGATTCCACACGTGTGCCATGTCCAAACAACTGCGGTCCGAAGAGCGCGCCGTAACATGGCACATGACAGTAAGGCACTCCTTTATGCTGGACATAGAATTGAGAAATATACTTTTTCAATGTTAAACAATAAAAAACACCTACCTCGGCATGTTGACCTGGATTCAGTCGCTTTCCACACTCCTCGCACCGTAAACATTCTGGATGCCAATCATAACCAAGCGATTGCTTGCGCTCCGCTAGGAGAATTTACAATATTTTAATTAGACTCAATTGAAAGACCGGCTTTCGATTTAAGAACAAAGAAAGCAAACATGTAGCCCTTGCTTACCGAAGTAGACAGGCTTTCCACACTTGTGACACTTCCACATACTTTTTGGCCTTTGATGGCTGTTGGGCCACAGTTGCGAAGCACGGGGAGGCGTATGTGCAGGAAAATTCGCTGTTAGCAGCGGCTAGTTCGTTGCCCTGCTTCCAGAATAGTCTGAATAAACTATGAATACAGATATTTACACTGGAGGCGCTAATAGCCACTGATGATTTTTTCCTTTTACTTTATTTCTAATTGAATGCGTGACGTATATAGTTTTACATAAAATATGCAAATGAAGGTAAAACAGAAAGCAGCAAAACACGCGAGAGTGTGGATAGTATAATTGGCTGAAAAAAATTTACAAAGCAAATAGCTGAAGCACGCAACCGATCAAGAGAGCACACAAACGGAAACAATTAACAAAGGGCACTGAGGACGCTGAACTCACTGGGTTTCAGGCATTTACCGTAGTTTTTTTTTGTGTTCCAAAGGTTTTCCCTTATATACAAAGATAAAATATAAGTGATTTTCCGGGTGCAAAACAGCACTTTCTTTGCTGCAAGATATTTGCCGTTGTTGCAAAGAACTGTTTATTTTAATTTGTTTATTTTTTGTAGACAATAGATTTCACTGCATTTCTGCGAGACGAAAAATAAAACAAATGCAATGTTTCCTTTGCGAAAAGGGCAAGAACAAATTACCGCGATGTTACCAACTTGTCGAAAAGTTATTTGATGAAATTTCAAAAATAATTAAACAATAGGGGTATTCTCGAAGTCTTGCAAAGCGCCTGCCAGGTGCACGGTATGCACAGACTGCACGGTAAACACCTGTTGGTAGTTGTGGACCTTAGCTTGACACGGCAAAAATTTACGAAAAGTTCATGAGTGGTATCAATCGACGCGTCTTAACGCCAATAATAATAGACCGAGAGCGGAAATTTAACTTTTTAGTCAATTAAAGAGTTATTTGCAAGAAACACTTTCCGCACTTTGTTTTGATACATTTCACGCAAATAAATGGAGTACTTTTGTGCATTTGAGATGTATTAACCGAAACATTAGCACAAAATTGTTTATTTATTCAATTGTAATAGGGGTTTTCTCTGAGTCTTGCAAAGCCCTTGCAAAGTGCACAGATTGCACGGTTTTCGTATGGGACAGCTTGGCAAACCGTGTAATCCGTGCAATGGCTTTGCAAGACTCAGAGAATACCCCTAACATTTCTATGTTGAAAATCCCGTACAACAATCTTGTCCCTACAAGACAGCTGAGGATCATATGAGTGCTCATATTGTCATTATCAGTAATTACAAAAATTATTATCAAAGTATTCATTTTTGTTCAGACCATTAAGTACTTTCCTCCCAATGTGGTCATAAGAAAATGGCCAGTACTAATAGTCCAACCACTCATTTATGTCATACTACAAAAACAAAGGTGGAAACAAAGAAAAATAGCTCTGATCCAATAGCTCTGAACCAGTACTCCATTAACTTACAGGATTTTACACGAACTTGCAGGAAGTAGCAGGAAAAATGTTCCCGTACTCCAAAATCCTGTAAATGAGAGCGACTTTTGGAGAGTTGTGTAGAGAATGAAGTTGCAAGATTTTACCCGAACTTTTTCTTCTGGTGAAATCATGAAAAGTGTCAAGCAATCACTGGTTGACGTTTTTACAGGAAAAATGGTTTTTTTGTTCCCGTACTTTTTGTTGTTACTCACTTGTTACTCTTACTTCAGAGAGTAATTTTGCTGTTTGAAGATTTTACAGGATTTTTCACGAAAAGTATTGGATCAGAGCTGATACTTTTCGTGTAAAATCCTGTAAAAATGTCAAACAGCAATATTACTCTCTGAAGTGATAGTAAAAAGTGAGTGACAACAAAAAGTATGGGACCAAAAATGATTTTACCAGAAGAAAAAGTTCAGGTAAAAGCTCTGATCCAGTACTCCATGAACTTACAGGTTTTTACACGAACTTGCAGGAAATTACAGGAAAAATGATCCCGCACTCCAAATTCCTCCAAAATCCTGCAAATGAGAGCGATTTTTGGAGAGTTGTGTAGAGAATGAAGTTGCAAAATTTTACCCGAACTTTTTCTTCTGGTAAAATCATGAAAAGTGTATCACTTCAGAGAGTAATTTTGCTGTTTGACATTCTTACAGGATTTTACACGAAAAGTATTGGATCAGAGCTATTATCTTGCAACTTCATTCTCTACGCAACTCTCCAACTAAAGCTTGCAAGAACTTATTCAATTTGCAAAAGCCAGAAAAAAATTGCTTGTAAATGAATTCAAAATTTGTATGGCTCACTTAATTTAAACATTTTTTTCTTTTGTTTTCAGAAATTGTAATAATTAAATTGAGCGAAAACGAAAAGCAAAGCCAAATAGAAGTTCCCAGAATTCTTCAGAGTGGCAATATCGTTCATTTTGGTGGAAAATAAAAAAAGTTTCACAATCTAAACTTAAGTTGAACTTAAGTTCTAGTTGAGAAAAATCTTAGCTAAGGACAATTTAAGGTTTGCGTTTCACAGTGCGTACTTAAGTATGGAAAATATATTGTTAAAAAGTATGGCAGCACCACAAAAAATTCTTTGTTGACATGTTTTGACATTTCTTAAAATACATATTAAATATTCTGAGGAGATAGTGTATGAGGTTTATTTAAAGTGTAATATTTGGCGAAGAATTATATAATATGGAATTTTATATTAATTAAAGAGGAGAATAAATTTCGGTCCAAATGAAATTGATTTGCTGGTGTGCCTCCTCGTATTCCGAATCACTATCATCTTCCCAACTCAAATGAAAATCCGTTTGTGCCGTTATTTTATTTTTCCGACAAATTGTTTTGCTTCTCAATCAAAATTTGTCATAAGCATCTGTTTGATAAATAAGATGTCTTGTCGACTTAGTTTACTTTTAGTCGCTGATGGCCGCGACTTAAGTCTTATACTAGGTTCACATATAAGTAGATTATCCTCATTTTCGAGC